CAATATGCGTTTTTGCTGCCTGTTGCAGCGCTCTAGCGCTGCACGGCAAAAACGCATAAAAACTCATGATCGCACCGGTCGCCTGGTGCCCTTCAACCTGGTTGTCGATTGATTTCAACTGACGTAGTTCTTACTTCGCCTGTTCCTGACAATCGTAGAGTTCCGGCCCTTCATGCAAACCGCTGCTACAAGGTTTAATTTTAGGCGTCGTCCGGATGAAAATTGTGGATGTGCGGTATTTATAGCACAGCTATTCATATTCTTGACATTTCGATCCACCAAGGATGCACTCTAGATTCCTGAGGATCTGCACAGATTACATCCTTCGGCCTTTGATTACGTGCCATCATAAAAAGTATACTCTGTGCTATTTTTTCAGCGTTCTCGTTTTATTTGTACTATGTAACATTCCTTTGGCACATGAACTCTTAGTCCGCCCAAAATATTACAGTATCACCGCACCTCTACCCCCGTGTTTGCCGAACAACCATATGGTTTCATATAAGGGACAGAAACTAATAATTAGCCAACGAACTGACAGCTGGTGCGAAGATGTGTTTTTGGCACGATTACCCGCAGGTTCTTGTCGCTAATGGCACCGATTTTTTTCCGACAGACGCTTCTAGCTAAAAGAATTGAGACTAGCAACCACGACTGTCAAAAAAGATCTCCTTAAAAATTCAGCTTTCTAGCTTTTTCGCTTCCCAACCTAGCAACTTATCCGCCAAAAACTTTTACGGACTGCAGGAGAGAACCACTCATACCTGGGAGTTGAATTTGAAGTTATCTGAAAACATCAGTTACTATAATGCTTTTTCCGCAGCGCGTGCTAAAAGTGTTGCCGTTTTTTGGTTGTGTGCGCTTGTTATCTTTTTGTCATTGATAAGCTCATGTATAACAATGATTAAGCTTGTTTAACAATGAGTATATGATTGGAAATAAATTTTTAAAAAAATCACTTCCACAAATCACTTTTTATCAAAGACAAAGGCATTCGGAAGTACCAAGAACAGCATGCACCAACAACAACCATGTACTTGCGAAGTTGTCAATGCTCATTCTTTCTTTCAAGGATTGCTTGGAAGCAATCTGAAAATCGTTCCGTGACTATTTACAATTACCATCGAAACGAATGAATGATTTGCAGAGGAACTGTTTGTCCTGCTAGAGGAGTCTCTGTCTTCAGATAAGCGTGAAAGCAGTGCTACCAATCCGGAACGCCATAAAGGGAAATGTCACAGGGATAAAGATGTGAACGTTGTAATCCTAGAATTAATAGCTTAAGAAAGTCTCGTTGCTACGGTTTATTAAAATTTTTCCAGCGCTCCTGGAAGGGCAATTTAACTTGAGTTGATTTTCTTTTTCCGTGAAAGCAGTGGCTGAAAACCAAGGAAAACTAGAAACGATGCATACTGCAGAACTGTTCGAAAGGGAGCATTTTAAAAGCATTGCTTTTTGCCGAAATTTTTGGCTATTTTTTGTTTTTTAACGCTAATCTTAAAGTTTCGTTCGGAGTAGCAGTAGTAGTCAAACATCGAAAGCCAGTTGTAAAGCTAAATGATTAAGCACACGCAGCACCCGAAATGATTTATCCAGTGCTTTTCCTTCTCAGATTTTGTCGAAATTCTTTTTTCTGTGCATTTGTAAAGGCTTGAAACTGAAATTTATGTTTTCCGCTGTTTTTCGGTGCTTCTATGTCTGAATGGCTTTTTTTCCCGCTTTGACAGATTTGATTTTTTGAATTGATTTCACACAAGCAACAAATGTGTTAGCACACTGAGTGCATTGCCCATTTCTTTTCTGTTATCATTGATTCGTTTTCCATCTCCGCTATAACATACATTCCTCGCAAACTAGCATTGGTGGTTGAGGGATGAAAATTTTTGGAATCGAGCTCGGTTTCATTCTTCTTATATCTGATAAACGAATTTTTTTTGTTGCCAATACGTCTCGTCTTTGTCGAGGCCATCTATCCAGAAGTGCAGAGTACAATTATTTTCTTCGACTTTTCCTGAATACCACGGATATGAGCATCCCGAAGTTCTTGGAAAAAATGTCGGAGCTCCGAATGAGAAATTTGATTTTGAGTTAATTTTCAGACAGCCAAGTTGCCAGAAACCTGAATGCACCCTTTCAAGAAAAGATACCACCATCTGATGAAACTTAGCGCACTATCGCCGTCCAAAGTGGCTTAGTGTAATCATTCAACTGATCACAATCAGTGCCCGGATTTCTTCGCGAAAATAACATATTTGCGCTTGTCGCTGCTACGTAGCAGAGAAATCTCTGTCAACGGATCGAGAATCCAGTGATCTATTTATTTGGAGATTTGCGTGTTGTCATCCGACTGCCTTGATGAACCAAAAGAACCAGTTTGCCCATGTTCACAGTGTTTCATGCAGGAGTCACTACTGGTCGGTCATTGTCCGTGCCCCTCGAAGAGAAGACTGCTTTCTACTTTTTTTTTTTTTTTTTGCAATATTTTCGTCGATGCAGCTGGTTTTGAGATCAAAAAAAAAAAAAAAAAAAAAA